TTTTTTTTTTATTTTGAGTACATACCGTCAGGTGATTTTTTTTTTCTTTTTAGTTTAAATTAACTTTAAATTCATTGCTTGATTCAGAGTTTAACACTCTTATAGGGGCCCCTGAGATATACAATCTTTTCTAATTCATATCTAGTTTCCTAGATGTGACAGAAAGAATTGTATAGCTCTTGTCGAATGCGTCCTTCGGATTAAATCTTTTAGACGCTTCACATTTAAGAACCGAAGGTTTGTCAAAGAATTGGAGGTTTGCCTATTCCTATTCCTGGCGCCAGGACACACACACACACAACGCCGCTCAGTTTTTTTTTACACACCATATTATTTACCAAGCCGGCCGCTCTTGGTAAATAAAATCTTGTATTGGGCGGATTCGAACCGGCAATCTCAAGATTACTAGGCATGTGTTATCTCCCTGAGCCATACGAAGATAACAGTTAAACATGACTAATTACTGAGTGATATGTGATCCGAGCGCTTCGACGCTTGCGCTTCGACGCTTAGTCTTTATGACGTCTGAAAGACTAAGTCCAAGGGACGCTTAGTCCGTAGGACACACTTCATGTAAATCAATTATTACGCTCACATTTTTTAATGGGTTGACCTGAGTTAAGTTCAGACCCTCTCCTTCGAAAGTAAGTTTTAATTTATCAAATAGATCTATGTTATCTCCAAAACGAAAATACATTACATTCGCAGGTTTGATATAAGCAGGTAATTTATTTGCAACAAATCTAAATATCGGTCCTTCCACAAAATTTGAATATACACACATATCAAGGGCGTCCTTTGGACTTAACGTCCCTTGGACTAAGCGTTCTTCGGACTTAGCCTTTTCGGCGCCTTTCAGGTGTCTTTCAGATGCTTGACCTGAACTAAGAGTGACTTCCTTCTGACTTTCCCCTTTGAATATAGTTTCTTTACCCGACTCTATAACAGCATATTGTGAAATGTCAAATATTTTACCAGGATGGGTTATTATTAATTTTACAGGACTATATACCCTTGTTTCATTATTATTCTTCTCAAATTTAAATTTGTTTATATCAAAAGCTAGCGGTGCTTTTTCTATGAGATTTATTCTTTCTTCTTCTATAAGATTTTTTAAGTTTTGAATAGCAAATACCCCGGATTAGTAAACCTAGATTAATTTTACCAGGTTCTTTATTAATAAGAGAAAGTCCTTCATTTTCAGAGTTTAACACCCTTGATTCTATTGCGTCAAATATTTTGTTTACTAATTTATCGTTTTTATCAAATTCAACGCTAATAGAACTCACTTCTAAATCAATTTTATATTTGATTTTGTTTTTGTCTTACACTTTTGGCAATACATCAATGTCATTTGTCACTCTTAAGGCTAATCTACAATGTGCTTTTTGCGTCTTGTTTCGTGTCCTCCGCCTTCTGTTTTTTTGCTACTTGTATTTTTGTCACATGAAGCCGAGAAACCACGAGAAACATCGTCATCTACAATTTGTCCTTTCTGAATTTTCGAAGAGAAATGTTATTTCACATAGACCAATCACAGACCGATATTCATAGTCCGTTCTTATATTACGACCATCTTAAATAAAAGTCTCAGATGCTAATACAGCATTCTTATTGGCTAATGATGTTTAAGGCAATACTTAAGACATCTTAATATATGAGCTATGAATATCGACCATAGAATAAATCATTCGGCGTTGTATTATTGTAATAAGGTTATGTGATCGCTACAAATTGTGTTTTCTTTAAAATGGACGAAGAATTATTAAACGTTTTGATTAGCGCCCAATGTTGGAATCTCCTTCTAATGCTTTTGCTCGCAAAAAAGCAGTCAAAGAAAAAAAGAATCAGGCGTTGGAGGGTGCGTCCAATTAATTATGGTCGAGAAACCCAGGGAATCTATAGGAATCTGTTTAGAGAATGGAGAACTACAGACCACGAAGAATTCTTTGATTATACACGCATGAATGTACAGCAGTTTGATTACATTTGTGATTTGGTGAAACCATATCTAACTAAGCGAAGCATCAGAACTCCATTGCCTCTACAGTTACGCGTGGCCATCACTCTTGAGTAAGTACATTTTCAACTTCTATGTATTACTAATGTTAAGTTATTTGTGTCACTGAGTGAGCTCTATGTTATTTTCTTAAAGAATGCTAGCGCGAGGCACATCAATTAGGACATCTTCATGGAGTGATAGAATTGGACGTTCCACTGCATATAAAGTGTTTAGAGAAACCTGCAGTACTTTGTGGAAAGCTCTTCAACCGATATATTTGCAGGCATTGACAAGAGAGACTATGGTGCAGATATCTGAGGATTTCTTTAACCGATGGCAGTTTCCCAATTGTATCGGAGCTATTGACAGTAAACACATATCGATACAGTGCCCCCCAAAAACTGGTTCTCAGTTTTATAGCTCTTACAAGAAAAGATTTTCTATAATCCTCATTGCTGCATGTGATGCTAAATATCGATTCACGTGGGTGGATGTTGGCGATTATGGTGAGTACCTCTGTGACAATCACCGAGATATTATAACTTGCATTATATTGACTTACGTAAGCTTCACTTTCACTTCTCCTGCAGGATCTCAAAGTGATGGAGGTGTGTGGGCAAGCAGCGCTTTCGGCCAGGCTATCGATGCAGGTGAAATTGACTTTCCTTTTCCAAAGGAGATTCTTGGCAGTGATGTCATCCTTCCCTTCACTTTTGTCGCCGATGAAGCATTCCCACTTGGCATCCATATGATGCGTCCATATGCCAGAACTTACAGAACTTTTGGCAACGCAGAAAGAATATTCAATTATAGACTCAGCCGTGCCAGACGTACCATCGAAAATACGTCTGGAATCATGTCATCAAGGTGGCGTATCTTGAGAAGGGATCTGTGTTGCATACCAGAAACAGCGGAAGACATTGTAAAAGCAATTGTGTGTCTTCATAACTTTCTGATGGTATCTGAAGACGATTTAGCACCATTGGAAAGGACCTATTGCCCTGCATCTATGCTAGATAGAGAAAGAGTAGATGGAGATGTCATTGAAGGTGATTGGAGAAGAGAAATGTACAGGGGACCGATCACTGATGTTGGTCGACTTGGGTCCAACAATCCCACAGTGAGAGCTGATGCTCAGCGAAACATCCTCAAAGATTATTTTTGTTCAGACATTGGCCAGCTGGATTGGCAGTGGAAACAAGCGCTAAGGGCATATAATGTTAATCCCCCTTAATAATATAAGTTAATGTATAATAAGTTAAGTTTAATAACAGGAATTAAGTTTAAGTTTAATTTTAAGTTTGGTGTTAAGTTTATGTATAATATTCAATAGTCATGAATGATCTACGTTCTACTTTTATCTATTGTCATTATTTGTATTTTTTCAATGTGATATTCGAACGCTTAAATGAATTCGATGAAACAGTAAGTGTATACATAAAGCTTGTAAAAGTTGGGAGAATAAATATAATGTATATTAAACAATCACTTTCATTTATTGTTCTGGAAATAGTCTTAACGTAAAAAACAAAAATACTGACATCAAATACTAAACATTTGTACTTTGACCACGAACACATTGCACTTCTTAATAATTAAATATAAGAGTAGGAACACTTGTCCAAGAACAAAAATTATCGTACAAAAAAAATTAAATATTAGTTATTAATGACTTAAAAAATCACATTATGTCTTATATCAGGCACATAAATGTATGAAAAATAAAATGTTATTAACAATTCAAAAAGTCATATATTATATCTCGCGAAAAAATATGTTATAGCGACTAAAAAAATCATATGTTTTTCTAATCATTATATGTTTTGTATATATATATAATTTTTTTATATACTTAAATTATATATATACTTCATAAAATCTTTAACCTACATAACAAAACATAATTACACAAGTATTCCAGCTGTAAAAGAGAATTACAGATTTTGAACCGTTTCCACTGTTGTCAGGTTCTGACAACAATGGAAACGATTCAAAATCTGTTATTCTTTTACAGCTGGAATTTATCCAAAACAGATAAACATTCAATATAACATTGGATTTTGTACTTGGAGCTTACTCTTCTCAATGCATAAATTAACGCCTTTGCCATTGCTGCCTCTTCTCCATTATCGTCACTGACAGGCTGTGAGCGCTTTTCTGTTAAATTATGCATAAGCATGTTTATAGTCTCAGTCGTATTGCCTATCATTTTAGACAGCTGTTCCTGTTCTTTATGAGACTCCTTTAGTCTCCGAGTTGCAGATTGGTCAGGTGGTGGGGAAAGTAAATCTCTCCTTGCAATAGCTAGTGACTTTGACTGACTAATTGAAGATACTGAAGTTGCTAAAGATTCTGAAGACGTTGATCTCTCTGGTGGTGGAGTTGAACCATCACTAAAAAGATTTGGAGTCCACAGATTGCTAAACGATGATCCAGATGCTGACTGCGATGCTAACTGTAGTGCAGATTGTGGTGTTGACGGGGATGATTTAGTGATTATTGTACTCCCTCGCACAAAGTTGCTAGATGTACTGCGATGGGCCACATGTGGTGCCAAAAAGAGAAGGGAGTGATACCATGTTTTCCGTGGCCTCTTAGAAGTGTCATTTCCTGTACCCGATGGCTCGTACATCTTCTCAAGGCGGTGTTCTCGAGTGAATTGACCGCGAAGAATTTTCCACTGTTTCTGTACCATGTCCACTGCAAAATAAAATGAACTATAATCTCTCCAAACTAATCTAACCTAAACTTATCCCTTGAATTATGCGACCATACAGTATCCATAAAATATGTACAAACTATACAAATGAGTCCATGTTTTTATCTCAAAATTAAAAAATTTTTTGTTTATTTACATGACATATTGCAGGCACTTGCGATGGAGCTCCATGTATCAGCGACGAAGTTCTTGTCTTTATATTCTTTGCACTTTTTATCATAAAGACAAGGATTTCTTTGGACGAACTTGGCGAGCAGTTCGCCAAAAGCTTCATTCACCTGATTTTCTTCATTTTCTTTGTCCGACATGTTATTTTTTGGTTATCTCGCATTTCGCGTTCACTCCGCTGTGTCCGCGATATCATCGTATTTAACGCGACATTTCTTCGTTTTCTGTCGCCCGAGATAAAAGTTGACGAACTCCAGAAGAAACAAGACACACGTGACAAAAAACACAATTGTCGGTAAAACAGTGCGCAAAGAGGCAAAAAGGCAAGAGGCAAAAAGCAAGAAACAGGAAACAAAGAGCACATTGTAGATTAGCTTTTAGTTCAGGTCAAACCCTTATATAGTATAAAACATCCTTAATATCACCTATTCCAATTGTTTTTATTGAATCTTTCCATTTTATTTTTTTAACTCCCAACAAATAAAGAACTATTATACATAAGTAACCACAAATAGCTAGATCACTCTTCTTTTGTACTTTCTTTGTATTCATACTGAGTCTATTTTCCCTGAAATAATTTTTCTATTCTATAGGCGCATCTCCCCCCACAGAATCAAAATAATATATATGATTTTTATTTTTGAAATAGCAAACCCAATGAAAAAAAGATTAACAATACCACACTCATTTTTTTCTAATTTTCTTAGGTAATTCATCTAAATTTAAATAGACGTTTCTAAAATTAGGTATTTTAAGTTTTCTTACATATTGTTTTATATCATCATCTGATAAAGCTTTTAATACTAAATTTTCAACTTCTTTTTTTAGATAGGCTGAGTTCTGCACCTTTATTATTTTCCATTTGTCTAAATACTTTATTTGCATTTCTAATAGATAATGATGGAAATAGTCCATAATAATCAGTATTTGTTTTTTTAACATGTTTTGAATTCAATTTAATTTTTTCACCGGTATCATAAAACCAAGCTTTCTTCAATTTTTGTTTTTGATAAGATGATAGGTTTAATTCCATTTAATAACGATATTTAAAGAGTGATGGTTGATATTTTGGTGCGTTGAAAGTTTCTTCACGTGGGACATTGAAATTATAATGTACAAATGGCATCATTTTATCTGCCCGAATTTTATCTACGTGGGTTAGTCCTTTGTCGCGTCCTTCGGATGCCTTATTATTTCTAATCTGTTCTTTTAATGTTTCATCCAGAAATTTGTTCTCTTTAACTGTTCTATATATATCCATACCCAAACTCATAAGATAATATAAGCCAGCGAAAATCATTGGGAGAGTTG